AGCAAAGATGGTGATTAACACCAATCACAGCGATAATATTCCATGGAATGCAAAACAGAAGCTGCCTAGGCAAAGGTCAAAATTTTTTCATATCCCCGAGTTCACTATAAAGAAGTGGACTCAAGAATTTTAACAGAGTCTGAGAAAGCGGAACAGAATCTCTGAGTAACTCATTCAGAAGGTGTGCGCAGTCCCTGTGTTCCACAAGCACCTGTTTGCATGAACATCTTCCAGCCAAGCCTCCTATTCCGGACAGGCACGCTAACCCACTAGTGTCTGGCTGCACGGCCCTAGCAGAAGAGCTCCCCCGCGGTCGTTTTCCACCGTGCTGCGGAGCTGGGAGGGGGCAGCGGGGTGCTGCCTCTGCCCTTGGACCCCACAGCGTCCCCCCACCCCCGGCAGCGCGGTCCTCCCGCCCCCGGCGTCCCGCCCCCCGCAGCAGACACTCACAGCTCTGGTTTCGTAGAGCACCAGCTTCTGGACCGAGCTGATGATGGGGGCAGCGGCGGTGGGCATGGCTCCAGAGAGCGGGGGCCCCACCACAGAGCACCAGGCCGCAGCCCAGGGCGTGACAGCCGCCTGACGGGCCCTGGGACGGAGGGAGGAGACTGCAGACACAGCTCGCCACACCGCGCACAAAAAAACCAACGTCGGTGCGCTAAACCCTCAGCAGCCCGCTGCCGCAGGGTGCTTCCGGATTCCCCGAGTCACGCCTCCCATCGAGCCCCGCCCCCCGGAGCCCCGCCCATAGGAGAGGGGGCGGGGTTACAGGAGCACGGCGTTGTTGAGGGCGGACGCTAAGGGCGCCATCTTTGTTAAGGTCAGGTAAAAAAAATAAAAAATAAAAATTTGCTTTATCTTAAGGGAAAGAGGTCAGGCGACTGGAGTATCGGTTCCAATCTGCTTCTCCATGTTGTAATTGGTCTTTTTCTTTTTGTCTATTCTTTATTTTCCTGAAACCCGTCTCAAAGTGGTTCTTTCCTGACACTGTGATTTCCCCCTCTTTTGTCGCCTCTTTTATTCCCGTGAGAATCAATAAAGTTCATATTGTGGCTCTGTGGCCCACGAAGCTCTCCTAACTAATTCAGAGTGACGCCTTGGTATTTGCACGTTTTATGTGTGAGGCTAACCGTCTGTGAATTCTAAGAGAGACGGTGCAGTGTAGGGGAACGCGCAGGTTCTGGTTAATCCAAGGTTTTTCCGTTGCTCTCTGGACGTAAGTGGACATTAACTAGACAACATATGCACTCGCTCTGCTCATCGCCTCTACATTTGTGGGAAGGAGTGTTTTATAATTGTGAACACAAAAGCAAACATTTAAGAGTTCATTGGAATTACAGCGCCACCTCCTGAGGCCCTGCCCTCCAAAGGTTTCCAGAGCAACCGCCCAACAGATACTTTGGAGGAGCCTCTGGAAGTAGCAGCTGTGGGTCCCAGGTCCGCAAGGGCCAGGTAAGCAGCCCTTTTCCCAGAGGTGGGAAGACCTTTGTCCACTGTCTAAATGAATTTTGTTATCAGCTGCAGGGACGCCCACTTCCTGCGGGGACCACAGACCAGCTATTTTTCTTGCGAAACTAAACCACGATCTATTCTTTTTATTTTTCCTTTTTTTTTTTATTGGAAAGAAAATTATTTTGCTTGTCAATCTCAGGTCCCTCTCCCTCCCCTTCTCCCCTACCTCCCCAATAACGGCCCACCTACCCCACACTCCTTCCGTTCCCCAGGGAGGGTGGGGCCTTCCATAGGGGGTCTTCAAAGTCTGTCACCTTCTTTGGGGTAGGGCCCAGCCAACCAACCCCCTTGTGTCTAAGCTCAGGGAGTATCCCTCCATGTGGGATGGGCTCCTAAAGTCCATTGCTATGGTAGCGATAAGTACTGATCCACTACAAGAGGCCCCATAGACCTCCAAGGTCTCCTCACTGACACCCACATTCAGGGGGTCTGGATCAGTCCAGTGCTGGTTTCCCAGCTATCAGTCTGGGGACCAAGAGTTTTTCCTTGTTCAGGTCAGATGTTTCTGTGGGTTTCAGCCTGGTATTGAACCACGCTCTATTCTTAAACCAACTTTTAAAAGCCGGTTCTCCTTTCAACGTCTAGGGTATTTACCCACAGATGCGGCGAACACCTGCTACAGTGTAAGATAGTGGTTGCTAAACTAGCCTAGGCATGAAGTGCTAGGTACCCCTGGGATCTCTCTATACCCCCAGAATTCACCACTAGGGGGTTCTCATGATGAAAGAATAATAAAACTTGAAAAATGCAAATACACAGCTGAATGTGATATTAAAGTTTGCTTTAGATTCAAAGTTGGGATGTTTCTAAAGTATTTGGGCATTTATTCCTAGTTTTATTTCATAGTTTGCCATATTTTCGAGAAACTAGAAAGATGGCAAGAGTGTCAGTTCTGTCATTTTACACTGGTCTGTGTGTGTGTGAGAGAGGGGGGAGACAGAGAGACAGAGAGACAGGCAGAGAGACAGAGAGAATGAGAGAGAGAGTGAGAGAGAGAGAGAATAAGCCAGAGGTCAAACTGGGTGTTTTTCAGCTAACAGGCCCCAGGTAATCCATTTATCTCCATTTGAATTGAAACTCTTTAACTTTTCCATTTCATAATGGAAACCAACTCTTCTAATGTAAGCTAAATATCTGCAGAATATTTGGTTTAGAAAATTCACCTTTTAAAAATATACAATTATGATTTTCAAATGTTTTTGATTAGTTTATACTAGAGTTAAGCGCATCCCTTTGAGGACTTTCTTAGTTTGCATCCCCTAGAAGCAGAAAAAAGAGACAATTTTAAAAGTGCCAAGCTGTTATATCATGGCTGATCCCAGGAAACAGTGGCAAGGAAGGAAAGAAACCGGGAAGGGGGGAATATCATCAGGCAAACTTGTTGACCGGCTGATTCACTAGGGAGTAAGGAGTACACCTCTTGGGGCAAAGGATCATCGTGTATGCTTAGTCACCAACTCCCATCCATTACTGGAGAAGCCTTCTCTGGCAGAGCACTGATATCTTAGACGTTCCAGATTGTCTGGGCTCAAACAGAGAGCGTATGGAGCTCACAGACAGAATTCCACATGCTGGTATTCAAAAGTTTGGTAATTACCTAGCAAAGGTGTGTGTCACATGCATGAGAAGAGCTCTAGTGGCATCTGCTGACTTCCACCCTTTTAACCATTCACACCCGCGCTCCCCACATCGTGGTTGCAGCACCCATCCTTTTAACCACTCATATCTATGCTCCCCATTTCACCATCCCACCATTCCCTCACGGATCCTTGAAAATAGTGACTACTCCCAATTCCTAAGAGAAAAGGACTTGCAGAAAGGAAATTAATGCAATTAGCTGCAGAATTCACTGCTGCAGTTGACCCTGGGTCTGTAACCGATCCCTCATCTCCCTCTTTACCATTCATTCTTGGCCAGGACTAGTGCGAGTCTAAGTTGTTTGTTCTACAGGTAGCCAGCTGTCATTCCTGTGACTCAGCATGAAGACATATCTCAGAGACTCCCCAGAGCTCAACATTACCTTCCCAACCCCAACTATTTAATCCCAAGTCTACCTCCACCTGCCAGTAAAGACTCCTCATAGGCTTGTGCCAAAAACAACCAGTTGGTGGCAGCAGTTTCAGTTTTGTCAAAACTTGACTGGGATCTCTGCTACAACCATCATCTCTCCCATCAAGCAAACCCAGTCCACCACCACTACCAGAGTCTTACATTGTGAGGGATTGTCCACATCAGTCACAGAGTGACGGGGATAAGGACCACTTCTCCATAGCTTACTTGGCTCATTGAGGAAGTACACTGACTTCACCCCACACAATACTAAACAGCGCCATACCCAGGCCTTCAAGATGCCTGTCTAACACACCAGCAACTTTCTAAGTAAGCTGGGATGTGGTAGAGACAGTAGATCCCACACTTACACGCCTCCTACAATATTTGCATTGCTGTAAAGAGGATCCTTTGATCCGAGGCAATACCTTATGAGATTCATGGGGATAAATGGAACAAACTCAACCCTTTGTCAGGTGTGCCAGCCAACAGATGATGGATGGAGAAGGCAAACTCACCTAGACCCTGTGTAGCCATTCTGTCAGTGATGGAAGTTCTGGCTCCCCAGGAGATGTGTCATATTAAAGTCTTAGCCTCATCTCAGCTGTGGAGACGTGGGGCATCTGGTGTAGCGAAAATGTGAGAGAACCTTACGAGTCAAGGCATAGCCTCTGTCACTTCATCCGACCACCAAGTGCTACCATTTAGGAATCTTCAGTACTCAGAGGACCAGGGGAACACTAACTGGTATCAACTGGATAATCACCTTGCTTATCAGTTTACTCAGTACCTCTTTACAAATGTATGGTTTTCGAATGGAAACAGCCACACATTTCATCCTTGCTGATACCAGATTTCCATGCTGTATAAAAAAAATGCCACAGGTTTGACATCTTAAAGCATTTATTATCTCATAGTTTCCCATGGCCAGGGGTCCTGGCATAGATCAGCTGGGTCCTCCTCAATCGGGTGTTAACTGAAATGTTAACAACTAGAGAAGAATTCAGTCCATTACTGGGAACATTCACCTCTGATAATAGGACAGAGGTTCCGGCTTTCTTTAGCTGTTGGCTACGTGTTGCTCTCCACTCCTGGAGGCCAGACACCAATCCTTGCCGCATGGTCCCCTCTCACACCACAGCTGCTTACTTCTGAGCCAACAGGAAGTGTCTCTCCAATTGCTAAGATGAAGTCAAATATAACCATGAGAAGCAAGTCACACATTCAACTTTTATTCAAAGGAAGAGGATCATGCCAGAATGCAGATGGGAAGAGCTTACTTTAAATGTGTCTCCCAAACCGTTTATAAGCCCAGTCACAGGTTGCTTCAGTGTTCCCTTTCTCATCTGAACTTGGGTCCTATAGGGCCTTGATGAAGCCATTCAGAATCACCCAACAGCTGGAGGAATTAAAAGCTCCGCTTAGTGCTCTGCCTGCAGGAAGATGTCCCCAATTACTATTTTTCAGAGCTCCCTGCAAAGGGAACTAAAATCTATAAGTGTTCCATTTGCAGTTTGCACCTGTACACCATGACTTTCCTATGATGTTTTTCTCTTTCTGTCAGCTCTTCCCAGGGAAGTCTACCTGAGTTTTTACCTGAAAGAGAAATGTAAGACACAGATAACAGGGCCCAGAGGGAGAGCCTGGAATACATATTTATGAACCTTATTTTCACAATTTCAGACCTGCTTAGATTCCATCACAGTTCTCCATTTTATCACTCAGTGGGCTGCTGTGGCATTTGCTCAACTTTGGGACTCTCTGCCCAGCAGTCCTTGAGAGAAGACATGTTGTCAGTTCCCATATTCTCCTGTTGATGGTTACAAGCTTCTCTAAGAGAAGCACTGTGGCACAGTCCTTGAAAACTTAAAAAAAAAAAGCCAACAATATACTTTATCACACCAATGTAACCATAAACTTAAAATGGAAATCATAGAATGTTAAAGTAATGCTAATGTTAATTAGCCCTATTAGAGTAGATTTTAAAAAGCATCACTGGTAACAATACTCACAGAGTATTACTCTGTTCTTGAGGACTCCTAACCTTCCCTTCAGTAGGTTAGCTCCTGGGCTGGAAGCAGGACTCACTATACCCCTGAGACTGCTGACATATCAACATATGGTTCAGTTGCTCCTTAGGTTTTAGCTGTGTGTCAGCTGACACTTCCACTGCCTGCTCCTGGGTCTCAGCTTTAGGAACGCCACCACAGTTTCTAACATAGCTGCTGGTCACTGTGGCTCCTGCATCAGGCTATCTGGAGCCGGCTTCCCAGTTTGAATTATTGTTAATAAATGGCCCCTGCTCTTCCAAAGCCAGTCATCCCCAGTGACACATGAGAACCCAGGAACAGAACAGCCTCACCTCTACCCTCAGCCCCAGGCTACAAAAGAGCAGCCACTACCATGGAACTCCTTACTGTGCCTCCATGTGGGTGTTTCTTATGGCCTTGGTGAAAAGGATGTCCTTTGGCTATTCCAGGAAGCACAGCCTCCTAATAACTTTAACTTACCAGTCTGGGACCTTTAATACCTTTCCCTAATGGTTTGCCAAAGCAGGTCCAGCACTTCCACCTCAGTTACTGTGGGTTTCTGTTTCTCCCAAGCATTTAGGACCCTTACCAACAGTGAATTCAAACTGTGGGTGTTGTTGCCTGTCTGTTAAGCCAGGAGCCCTGGGAAAGAGCACAAATATCTGCACACTCTTACCTGGTCTAAATACCCTCACCCTGAGGTCGATGTCTCACTTTCTCAACAGTGTTTGCCCACCACACAATCTGCCTTCATTTTGCACATGGTTTCTAGAGCAGTAGCTGGAATAAAACACCCATTTCCCTGGGGGAAATACTGGTATGAAAGAGAGTTAATTATTGACATAACTGCAGGACTTGCCTATCATCTGGAGAAATGCCTATCAAAAGAGCTTCATTTTAAAAACCCCACCTATCAAAAGTTGCCTTTTCAAACTGATCTGATAGAATTTATTTCCAAGATTTTATTATACTTTTGTTAATTGCATCTTTAAAGTTTCTTTTATTTTTTCTTTTAAAAATTTACTTTAATAGGTTTAATTAACATTAGCATTAATTTAATATTTTATGATTTCCATTTTAATTTTATGGTTACATTGATGTGATAAAGTGATACTTTTTTTAGTTTTCAGGAATTGGGACTTTGAATACATTCATAACTATTTCATTTTAGTCAAGAAAAAAGGTCCATGTTATTTTATTATTTACATAGTAGATTCATTGTATGGGTAAATATTTTATTGGTTCAAATATGTAAGCAATTTGCAAGTGCTTGAAAAGAAGATATGATCTTTGTACAAAAATAAACAAATCTAAAAACTCACTGACCCAATTTATTTGTGATTTATTTCAACAAAAGCAGCATAAACTAAATCCTGCTACTACAGACATAAAGTTTGAAGTGATAGGTTGTGCCCAAAACTTAACTGTTCAAACTAGCAAAAGTTTTCCATTAAAGATCAGATTTGTAGAAATTTAATAAATATTACTGTGTGTGTGTGTGTGTGTGTGTGTGTGTGTGTGTGTTTTCAATTTGATCTTTTGGGCATGTTTACCTTTCTTTTAAACAGCCTTGGTTATATGCTGTTTCTTTTTCAAATGCTTAATGCTATGGAATGGCTCCTGGTCTAAGTAAATTCATGGAGTTCTTCCCAACTTCCTGCTCCAACAACTGTAAGCCCTTCAGTTTTGCCTTTTTTTTAAATTGTAGTGTTTTCTATTATGAATCTTGGAAAGAAGAAAGAAGAAAATCCTTTTGTAGATATCTTTAATGAAGATGAAGCGGAAAGAAACTTTTTGTTGTCCAAACCTACTTGCTTTATTATATTTGGAAAACCAGTAAGTTATCTCTTCTAACATTTGGGTTTTTTTATTTTAAAATAGCAATTTAAATTACCATACAAGCATGGAAACCATATAGTATGTTCATTTTTTTAGTGTCTGATAGGTTTGCATAATATCATTTCAACTCTGATACTATATTGGTTTTGAGCTCATATGTGTCTGTCTTCTTGTGCTGAGCTCTGGAAGAGAAACCTAGGCTATGCTGATGCTGGTTTTAATAGTATAAGGGTATAACTTACCGCCACTCTCTACCATGGTGATTGTTGCTGCTTTGTGACCTAAGGTTACTTCAGATGTGATTTGAATATAAGATCTCCTTAGAAACTTGTCATGAGGCTCTCCGGATATATGAGATGAGCTGGGAGGTCTATTGACAGCAGAAGGTGCTGAGGGCAAATGGGCTTGAAGTGTATTAAAGAACCAGCTATCGTCTCCCTCCAAAGTGGGGAGAACCCGAAGGAGCTGTGGTAAGGTTGTTCACTCCTGGGAAGCTGTAGGAAGAACTTCCATGTAAGTTCTGCTTTCAGCCATTGAGCTAATCCATCGCTAGAGGACTGGCCTAGTCAGTTAGAGATTCTTCCAAAACAGCAAAAGCCAAGGGGGATCCCATCATTGGTTTAATTTTTGGTAAGAACCATAGGAGAGGTAACCAAGAAACATTTCCAACAATTTTCATTATGCTTTTAAAAACATAGTTCTAAACATCAACACTGACAACATCCAGGTTCAAATATCACTTCATCAGAATGACCTAGTACCTTGGAAATAGGATGCTCTCTGAGGATGTCAGTTAAGAGATTTCTCTGCTCTTCCACATTGCTGTATGAGCTGAGGCTGCAGCCACAGCAGTGTAGGAGGCTGAGGCAGGAGGATCACAGTCCTATGGCCGGCTCTGGCTGCAGAGTTAGTTCACAACCAGCCTGGGCAGCTTACAGAGCTTTCATATCAAAATAAGAAATAAACGCAAATTTGATGATATTGTTCAATGGCAAGGTTCTCACCCCGGTAGCCACAATATATTGAACCCCAGAGCTGCAAAAAAAAAAAAAAAACAAAAGAAAAAAAAAAAAAAAAAAAAAAAAAAAAAAGAGGAAATAAAATTATTAGGTGGAATTCACCAAAATTTCCAAGAAATTTTCCAAAGAAAACTTTTAAAAAGAAAATAAAATGACAAATGTCAATATATTTTATGATGATTTATAGTTAGAATTACAAAGTTTTGCAATATCCTGATGGGGTAGCTTCCTGATTTCAGGTATAGCTTCATAATTTCCTTCAATAATAATATATTTAAATAAGTTCATATTATACGGAATATACAAGTGGAGAAAAATGAAGCTCTAAGTATATAGGGCTCTCTTTATTTTATAGGGTAAACATTTATGTAATTTTAACCATCAAAAGAATTCTCTAAATCAATGCCTCTGCTTCACCATGAAATGAATGCTTTGTTGTATTTTAGTAACATTTCTTTTTTAAAGGGGACTGGGAAGACAACATTAGCCCGGAGCATAGCACAGGCATGGCGATGTATTCGTGTTGAAGGTAAATTTAATTTTTTCCAATACTTTAGGATCAATAGTTTCAAAGATTCACAATATAGAATTGCAAAATGAATACCAATGTAAGATTTCATAATTAATGTTTTGTCATGTTTCCTTCATCAATCATCTGTCCACCTGATGAATATCAACTTTCTAATAGCATCAGTCCAGTTGTGTTTATTAGATGTCTTTGGCTTGTCTTTCCTCTAAACCTTTATTTCCATCAGAATGTTTATATGTGTGCATGAGCATCTTCTTAGAGATGGAAAGAAAAATAACTGAAGGTTTTCTTCAGAGCATTTTCCAGAACTTTATTACCCTTATCGGAAAAAAGTGTACTTTTTACATATAAATTTCCTTACATTCTTTGAAGCATGTAAAACAACAGGCTAATGTGCACACACACACACACACACACACACACACACACACACACACACACACACACGCACACACACACACACACACTTCCAATCAGTAATGCTATTTACTTACTAATAGAAAAATAAGGGAAAGGTGAATAAGAAATTCATAAAGAGAGGGGCTGGGGACATGGCTCAGTCAATGAAGTGCTTGCCTCACAAACATGGGGACCTGAGTTCTATCCCCAGCACCCATATCAACAAAAGTCAGGTGTGATGGCAAATCTTTGCAATCCTGTGCTGGGCAAGCAGAGGATCCCTGGAGCTCACTGGCTAGCCAGTGTAGCCTAACTGGCTGGTGAGCCCCAGGTCCCAGGGAGACCCTGTCTGAAAAACTAAAATGGAAGGCTCCTGAGGAATAACCTGAGGGACCTCTAGCTTCCACATACATGTGCGTAAATGTGCACATGTACACACACACACACACACACACACACACACACACACACACGTGCACATACACACATGCACATACACACAGTGCACACACATGTACACACAAAACACTCAGAAAAGTGGAACTAAATCTAAGGAGTGCAAGAAAAGTTTATTCTTATATTATTAAAAATAATTAACACTGATTCATACTTGCCCAACAAGTTGGTGGTGAATCATTAAAATAATCGAACTAACTATAATCACTGTTGGCAAGGATGTCATAAAACGGGAATGCTGTATACTGTTAGTAAAACTGAGAGGCCACAACTGTTGCATGTGTGTGCAGAACAATTGGTATCACAGACCACATTCCCATAGAACTCGGAAACTTTCCTCTTCTTAAAAAAAAAAATTCACTATTGTTTTATGTATATGGGTGTTTTTTTCTTCATATGAATGTGTACCACATGTGTTCCTGGTGCCCATGGAGGCCAGAAGAGGTCTCGGAGCCTCTGGAGCTGGAGTTAGAGAAGTTACTGAGCCACCATGTGGTTTCTCTGCAAAAACACCCAGCTATCTTAGCCACTGAGCCACCTCTCTGGGCCATTTTTTTTTTAATAAAAAAGTTTATGTTTCAGATTCTTAAAGAATGTCAAGGCATCTAAACTGCTGGTGCCATAATTCAGTCTCCCTCAGGCCAGGCCCCCACCATTCCCGGCAGGATGTATTCCATCAAAATAGTATATTTACTGGAATTCTTAGGGCTCTCCTTTAACCCAGGGTTACCCATTTTGACATTTTTGAGGCCAGGGCCTTAAAGGATCTAGACTGATAATACTGCTGTCTACTATTGCATGATATGGGTCAATTTACATGTCACTGTGACACACCACTTCATTCCATCCTTCTACTGTCTGCTGCCTCCCATGGAGCAGTCATCCAAGGCACAGTGGTCCTCGGAGAGTCACTCCACTAAGATTTTAAGCTGATGAGTGGCCAAGATGAGCTCTCAGCTGAACAGTCCTTTGCCTCTACCTTGGCCAACCTTAAATGATCTAACATGAATAAATAAATATGCTTTGCAAATTCTCAGGTGACATAGTCACATTAATCTTGCCACCAGTTACCAATCATTCAGAAAATGTTTCCTATTTTAGCAATCCGAATATCAGCTTGCACTCATATGTTGAACTTGTGTTTTAGCTTTATCGGTTTTGGAAGAACACATTGCTACTGAGACTGAAACTGGAACTATGGTGAGCAAATCTACATTTCCGAGTTACTACAATAACCCCAAAATTGTGAATCCCAGGAAGAATGTATGGTAACGCACAGTGTCTGTGCTTATTCTAGTTGCAGTCACTACTGGTGAGTGGTCATAGCATCCCAGATGAACTTGTCACGAAGCTGATCCTGGAAAAGCTCAAGTCTTCAGAAGTCTCTCACTTTGGTATGTGCCTGCCTGCCTGCCTGCCTGCCAGTAGTTACTTTTGCCTCCTCTTTCTTTTGCCTTGACTCAGGAACCTCACAACCCCTATTGAGCTGAGCATCTCAGAATCAAGTACTTCTTTGTTTTTAATCCTCTGGTGTCCACGATTGCTTTTTTGTTTTGTTTTTGTTGTTGTTGGTTTTTCAATACAGGGTTTCTCTGTGTAACCGTTCTGGTTGTCCTGGAACTCACTCTTGTAGACCAGGCTGGCCTCAAACTCATAGAGATTCACCTGCCTCTGTCTCCTGAGTGCTGGGATTAAAGGCATGCGACACCACTGCCTAACTCTGCTATATGATGAATCAATGCATCAAAAAGGGTGCCTTGGCCTTCTCGAAAGGCCTCTGGTTTCTCCTATCTGCTCTCCTGTTCACCCTGCTATTGTAGCGTAGTCAGCGTCAGTCTGTGTGAGAGCCTGAACTGCTTCCCTCTAAGACTGACTACTCTTGCTCACCCAGCCTGCTCTCTGGTTACACACACCAGAAGTCTCTCCCTGCACAAAAGGGTTCTCAGCAAGGACTTTGCTTTCTCTAATTCTTCAGACAAGGCCAGGGCAACTGAGAATAAAAGAGCAAAACTCTGGGATATTTGCAAAAGAAGGGAAGATGCATGAGCATGCCCTTGGGAGAAAGATGTCTCCTGAAACAGATTTATTGAACGCAAGAAGGGAAATCCCAGAAGAGCTTAAGGGATAACTTTGTAACTGTAACAGTTAGGTTGGAAATGTGGTATGGTGGTAGAACATTTGTCTAGCATATTCAAAGCCCTGAGTTCAGTTCTCAGGACTGAAATCTAAAAAGCTACATAAGAATATAGGGATTAAAAATAAAATATGGTGCCATAAAAACCGCATCAAAGCAAATCAAGAATGAAGCAACAGATAGTATCATCTGTCCATCTCACTTTATTGGCTTTTCATAAAAGGTTGACTATATTCTCAAGGCTGAAGCATAGTTTACAATTGTTCCTCAAAGGAGAAAAACATTAAAATAGCAGAAAAAGATACTAAGACCTTTCATTTCCAGCTGAAGAGTTGAGACGTATTTTATTAATGATATATAAGTTTCTTGGGCAAGCAAGTGACATAATTTAAAAGTATATTGGGGAAATCAATATGATGCTGGTATCCAAAACTGATTTCAATGTGATTTCAGCTTCTGTGTGGGAATGCAAGCCAATAAATACTCTAAAGCCCAAATCATACTGTGTTCTGTTCCTTAAGCTGTGCAGCGGGTGCATGGGTGTTCCATCACTCCCTGTACCTGCATGGATACCATGTTATGTGCTCTACTGTGTTATTAAGTACTCATGTAAAGATAAAAGTAGTAGGTCACATAAAAGGTCATGTGACAGTTTCTAACCTGAGATAAAGAAATTTCCATAAGTGTCTCATCTAAAACTAAGTGACTGGGATAATTCCTTATTGTTATGGTTAAGGGGAGCATATACACATTATGGCAAGCATGGGTAGGCCGGGGGACAACTTGAGGAGGTTGGTTCTCTTCTTCCAGCCCTCATGGGTTCATACCCTGGGCTTGAAGTCAGGTCGTTGGGATTTGTGACAAATACCTTTGCCCTCTGATCATCTTGCCTGCCCCTGACTTAGAGTTTTTGAAGATGTTTCCTCCCAGTAAGTGATTTTTTATCAAAAAATTATTCATAGCTACACTTCATGTGGTAATAACTATTAACTTAAAAGTCTTGACAGATAATTTTATGAATTTCACTCTCATAAATAGCTATGTAATATTTTATAAGTTGTAATAAAGCCATGCTCTCACTTATTGATAATATTATAAATTGTTAATGTGTATTTTCCAGGTTACATCATCACTGAAATACCATCACTCTCACAGGAGACCATGACCTTTTTGAAGCAAATAGAATGTATTAAAAATTTAGAATTGCAACCAGATGTCATAATCAATATTAAGGTAAGGATATTAGTTGATTCCTGCAACAGCAAATCTTTCCTTTTCAGAGAACTTAAAATTCAAGGGATGCTTTCCCAGTTAAAAAAAAAAAAAGATTTAGTTTATTTTTAATAGTAAGTCTGTGTCAGGGCTTGTACAAGTGAGTGCAGTTGCTTAAGAGGCCAGAAGAGAGCATCAGATTCCCCCAAGGCTGGAGTTACAGGTGGTTGTGAGCCACCTGATGTGGGTACTGGGACTTGAACTTGGGTCCTCTGCAAGAGCAGTACATGCTCTTAAGCACCAAGCTGTGTCTCCAGCCCATGTTTCCATGCTTTCTGGGTAGTTATGGAAACAGTCATTTATGTATCACACTTCTGCACTTCTGCTCCTGAAGTTCCACCCACAAGAAGCACTTCCTTGCCCCAACACCAGACTTAATCATAGCTAACTTTTGTAAGGCAGTGCGGCCTTCATCTCATCAGAACTTGCTCTGGCAGCCCCTCCCCCACTGCCGAGAGAGAGAGAGAGAGAGAGAGAGAGAGAGAGAGAGAGAGAGAGAGGAGAGACAGACACACACTTACCACTGAGATGTTCATTGCTTCTCTGGGAGCTTTCCCTGTGTCTCTCTTCTTTTATATTACTCCCCTCTCTATATTACAGTTGTCCATTTCCTTCACAAGTCCTAATGAGGGTATAATCACCACTCAGAGCAGGAAGGTCATTGGTTACTTATGTAAGTAACTTCTCCCCGAATAAATTTAACCTATATTTAACCAAGTCCCATGTATCTTTATCTGTGCATCTACACATGCCCACAGGCCAATTTGATCTAGACAGTCCCTAGGTCTATCTTCCCAAGTAATTCTAGCTTGTGCCAATTTGACAATTAAAGTGAACCACACACACTTCATCACCTGGAGCAGCAGGAGGGGAACTGTGGTCAGATACTGGTCAAGAGAATGTGTCTCCCAGGACAGATGAGAGAACTCTTCTATAGACATCATAGATGAGAAAGCTCCATAGAGTGAACAAAGTCCTTAACTTAGCCTCTTTGTAAATGATACCGAGTGCCTCTGCTTGGCTTCCACTGAGTAACCAAAGTCTAGAGAGCCCACCTGTAATACAACCCAGGGCAATGCAAGCTTCTCAGTAGTTTGGGGTTAATTGGGAAAAGCCTGTGACTTCTGTAGGCTAGAAGTTTCCAGCTTGGGACCCATGAGTCTCAGAGCACCCATAAGTCTCCTTCAATTACATGTAAAACTGAGTGTGTGTATATTTTCTGAGGCCAAATGTGTATGGCTTCCATGATACCTTAGAGAGGTTTGTGCTACCAAGAACGCCTATGGCTAGCAGGCCTGTAGAACAGGTTCGAAGAACAAATGGCAGCAGTGCCCAGATGTTTGTTCAAATACAAGTTTTTGTGCTAAGACTCAGAAGCTGTGGGAGTAGCATCCAGCTGTTAGTGTGGTCTTCAGAGTGGTTCTCTGCTTCTAACCCTTGAGGACACTGTCTGAGGCCCAGACAGGCCCCTTTCTAAATCAGGGAGTGATTCCTACAAATATGTGGTATTTTTTTATTACCTGCATTAACTAAAATCTTTCTGGTGAAAACTTAGGAAGCCCACATAAGGTCTGCCTTACTAAATTCACAAGCATATAGACAGCCCTGCATCTCCACATGGAAATGTTAGATCCCCAGAAAACTCAGGCCTCTGGGGTTCCAGCCCAGGACCGAGGTCACCCCAATCACCAGGCAGACTTGAAAACTTGCTGCAAACTGCATGAGGCTTTATTGTTGTTTAATGAGCTAACCCCATGTTAGCTCGGGTCTTTCACCCACCCGCCATGGCGGATGGCTAGCAAAGACAGCTCGAAGGGGCTGCAGAGAGATCTTATAGGGCAGCGTAAGGGGAGTTGAGTGTCTAGGGGTACGCACAGGCTCAGGATTGGTGTGCCTCCAGGCTTGGAGGTTTTGCCCTGTGTTGATTGGCCAACTGGTTGTTATGGCCCATAGGCCCTCCCAGGGTGGTTGCTATGCTCTGCTCGTCATTGCTGTGCGCTTGTCCGTAAAGCACACCCAGGGCTGTAAAGCATAGCGCCGCCGGCTAACTTCTGATTGGTTCCTTGCCACGAGGCAGGCATCTGACTTCTAGTGACTGGGCCAAGGTCAGGGCAAGCACGTGTTACTGTCATGGCTGCCGAAACGGGGAGCTGGTCCCTTCAGAAATGGCATGAAGAAGACAGAAAATGAGCAAGGTGGGGCCCACAGTCCCTTGCTTCTTTTGTTTCTCCACATGTGGTTGTCACCAGAATCAGATGCCTTAAGAAAGAAAGAAAGAAAGAAAGAAAGAAAGAAAGAAAGAAAGAAAGAAAGGGGAAAGAAAGAAAGAAAGAAAGAAAGAAAGAAAGAAAGAAAGAAAGAAAGAAAGAAAGAAAGAAAGAGAAAGAAAGAAAGAAAAAGACTATGTTGCCCAAGATGGCTTCCATGTCTCAGTCCTCCTGCCCCAGCCTGCTCAGCAGTGGAGCAGCAAGAGGTGTTTCCTCCCCCACCTGGCTGCTGACAATGTTTTTTTTTAAGTGGCTAAGTCACTCTGAGCTTAGAAACCTGTAAGGCCCAAAGAAATCTGCCGAAAGCTCTCCAGACAAATTATGTCTCCAGTGTTTGAACATTACTGTCCAAAGAGACCATCTGGATAATTTTAGAATTTTAAAATGCTTTATTGGTCTCTGTGTGAGTGCAGGCACATATGCCTTGATGGAGGTTGTAGTAGCAACTTGTTCTCAGAGTCTCCTGTCTCCCGGGAGGAGTGCTGGACTTACAGATGTGTACTTCTGTATCCAGTGTTGTTCATGGCGTCCAGCAACTGAACTCAGGTCATCGGGCTTGCTCAACAAGCACTTTCACCCCCTGAGCCCTCCCCACCCCTTCATCTAGATTTTTTTTTTTCCTGCAAAGCATTCCGAGCAGGATTTGCTGTCTCACAGCATCACAGAGAGCTCAGGGATGGATGGGAAGACCACCATGTGACTTGTTGTCTGCTTTTAGCCTGCCTGTATTTCCCTGATCTGCAAGAAATGAGGTTACTTCCCTCTGGGTGTAGCTTGAGAATTGAGTGAATCCATGCACATGGAAGCACCTTGAAAGACGGAAGTTACTTCTACACTTTGGTGTGGGCTCTGATAACCATGTGGAGTAAGTTTCCTTCATTTACAGAATTGAAAGGCTATATAACATGATCTCTCAGGCCCCATTTCTGAATCTTGTGAAGTATTTTATCCATTCTTAGCCTCTTTAAGCTAAAATAATAAAATTCTGTGAAAGCAGATTAAATTGATTTTCTGTTCTATTTTTTTATTCCTTTCACTACTCTGCTAGCTCTCTCTCTTCTATTTAAAATGTCTGATAATCTCATATGCATTAATTTCAGACAAATAAGACTGTTGACTTGGTATACAAATCATGGACTGAAATTTGCCATGTAGTAGAATATAATGCAAAATATCATCACAGAATTGCATTTGTTCAAATATAAGGAAAAATTTATCTTGTGGATAATATGAAACAGGAAATAAAAGCTTATTAAAAAATTAAGTTCAAGCAAAGCTGAAGTTTATTCAAAGAGGAGTGAAGCCCAAAGTGTTAGAGAAATCATGCCTAGAAAAAGAGAGGTGCTGGAGAGATGGTTCAGTGGTTAAGAGCACCAGCTGCTCTTCCAGAGGACCCAGGTTCAATTCCCAGCACCCATATTGTAGCTCACAATGTCTGTAACTCCAGTTACAGTATCTGATGTCCTCTTCTGGCCCTCAGGGTACTAGGCACACACATACATACCTGAGGGCAAAACAGCCACACACATAAAAAATAAAAATACATTTTTTAAAAGAAACAAAAATAGAAAGAAGAAAAAGAAAAGTTACACTTTTCTGAGCAATTCAGAAAAATGGGCAGACTTACAAAGCTTCATGCGTGAGGTTCTGTAAGAGATGTCGCTATGGGGCCGGGATTCTGGGAAGGAAGAGCACAGTATCTCCTTCAAGGGATAACTATTCCTCCCACCTCTCCAGCACGGTTCAGTGGGAGCCTGCCTTCCTAGGAGATCAAATGTTTTAAATGATTTAATAATGTTGTTTCATAGTGTGCTGACTATGACTTATGCAAAAGGATCTCTGGGCAAAGACAGCACAGTTCTACAGGATACATATATAGTAGGGAGCAGTGGGACCCCGAGATCATTGAGAGTCGCCGGAAACGGAAGAAGGACATACCCAAAGATGGAAAAGCTGAAGAAGAAGAAGAGGAAGAAGAACAAGAAGAAGAGGAGGTAATGTTCCAGTGCAGCCATTGTCACATGATCATTAAAATCTACTATGATTAAGTGATAGCAAGGGGAAAAGCAGAGGCCCGAGAAATTTAAGGTTTTACATTTTTATGGTCTGGAGGAGATAGATTCAAATACCTCGAGTTTTCAGAACTATTTGAATTTTAAAATATGTCCCTCATTAAAATTAGCATATAAGAATTACACAGAACAGTGGGCTTTGTTTTGACATTTTCACACATGGTTACAATGTTCTCTGGTCAAACTTACTACCCCCATCATCCCTACCTGATGCCCTTGCCTCCTGCTGGTTCTCTACCCTCCACTCACCTTTCAATTTCAGGTCTGATTTATTTTTTTAATCCAGTTTCCACATATGAGAGAAAACATGCCATGTTTTCCTTCCTGCATGTAGCTTATTTCACTTAGCATGATAGTGATCTCAGGGTTTCTTGCAGGTGACATACTGGCACTCTTACTGGCAAAAAATACTAGTGTGTATGTGTATAACATATTACATATATGTATTATAAACATACACACACACACTACATTTTCTTTTCTGTTCACTGATAGGTGACCACGAGAGCTAACCCTATAACTTGGCTATTGTGAATAGTGCCCCAGTGAACACAGACTGCAGGAATCTCTTCCATAATGACTTTGATTCCTTTGGCTGTATACACACACACGTGGTATAGCTGGATCATGTGGTAATTTGAATTTTAGTTTCCCGAGGAACTTCCACACTGCTTTCCATAGTTGCTAGACTAATTTACATGTCCACCTGTATATAAAGGTTCCTTTTCTTCCACATCCCTGCCAGAAATTTTGGTTGTTTGTTGCCTCAATTGTGGCCCATCTGATGGGTGAGATGGAATCTCAGTATAATTTTAATTTCTAGTCTCATGGTCAGTGAAGATACACATTTTTCGTGCATCTTCCCCCTGTTATTAAGCATAGATTCTTTTTTCATACAATATAATCTAAATACAGTTTTCCCTCCCTCTACACCTCCCAGATCCTTCCCACATCCAGATCTCTCCCTTCTGTCTTTCATTAGGAAAGAACAGGATTCTAAAAGGTAACAACCAAACATAACAAAATAAAATATAATAAGATTAAATGAAAGTCATCATATCCAAATTGGAGAAGACAAGCCAACAGAAAGAACCCAAGAGAAGGCACAAGAATCAGAGATGCCCCCATTCACACATTCAAGAGTCCCATAAAAATACTAAACTGAAAGCTGTAGTGCACATGCAGAGGGCCTGTGCAGACCTGTGTAGGCCCTGTGCTTGCAACTTCAGTCTCTGAGTTCATGTGAGCTCTGCTCAGTTGTTTTAAAGGGTCCTGTTCTCCTGGGGTCCTCCATCCCCTCTGTTTCCCCCAGTCCTTCTGCCTCCTCTTCTGTGAGGTTCCCTAATCTTTGGGTGGAGGATTTCATGGAGATATCTCACTTAGAGCTGTGTGGTCCAAGGTCTGTCTCTCTCTGTCTGTCTATCTCTGCCTGTCTCTGTCTCTGTGTCTCTGTCTCTGTCTCTGTCTCTCTCTCTGTCTCTCTCTCTGTCTCTCTCTCTCTCTCAGTCTCTTTATTTGTTCCCATCTGTAGCAGGAGGAAGCCTCTCTGATGATGGCTATTAAGGTACTGATCTATGAGTATAGCAGAATATTATTTTATTATCACTTTTTTTAGGCCAGAAGTATTTGGTTTTATAATAGGTTCTCTGGGCTATCTCTGGTTCTTGGTCACCCAAACAGTGTCAGATATGGTTTCCATATCATGCAGTGGGCCTTACATCAAATAAGACATGGGTTGGTTACTCCTGCAATGTTTATGCCACAATTGCCCTAGCATATTGTAGAGGCAAGACAGATTGTAGAACAATGGTTTTGTTGCTGGGTTGATGTTTACTTTTCTGTCTTGGTAGCCTGCAGAGTACCTTTCCATGTCATAGACACTGACACATGGGGGTGAAGTTCTGTGTGGGCACCAGCTCAACCTCTCCATGTTAAATGAGCTGTGTGGGTGTTACCATCAGCAATGGGACCTTACTGTCAGTTTATGGAGAGCAACCTATTGTATTGGCAAAAGCCTGGGTTGTTTGAAGATTTTTATGGGGCCCTTTTAGCTAACAACTCAAGTGGATGAAACTCACTTCTGGTACTGGAAACTTTGTTTGGTGACAAGAGATGGCCAGTAGGGGTTCCATCTCACTCATTATTTGGAGACTTCGTTAGGATCGCCTTAATATATTATAGGACGTTTCTACCACACTAGGTTTCTATACTGCTCTTCAAATGCTCTTCAGTTCTAGCCGTCCTCTCCCCTCATTTCCTCCCTCAGTCCCATTTCCTCTTCCCCTTTCCTCACCCCGTGTTCTCATACCTCCCCCTCCCAGGGAGATCCATGTGTCTCTCCTAGCCCCTTCCTCTATGCCTGTTCTCTGGAGGTGTATGGATTGTAGCTCAGTTATCATTTAGTTAACAGATAATTTTCAGATATAAGTGAGTACATACCATATTTATCTTTCTGGGTCTAGATTGCCTCACTCGGAATGTTGGGGGTTTGGGGGTTTTTTTTTTTTTTTTTTTTGGTTTTTTTTTTTTTTTTTTTTTTTTTAGTTCCATCCATTTGCCTGCAAATTTTATGACGTCATTTTTAAAGAACTGAGTAGTACTCCATTGTGTAAATGTACCATGTTTTCTTTATCCATTCTTCTGTTTTGAGATACCTAGGTTGTTTCCAATTTCTGGCTATTATGAAGAGAACAACAATGAACATGTTTGAGCAGCTGTCTTTGTGGTAGGATGGAACATCCTTTGGGTATATTCTCATGGGTGGTATAGCAGGACCTTGAGATAGATCAATTCCCATCCCAATTCCCACACTGACTTCCAAAGTGGCTGTACAAGTGTGTACTTCTACCAGCAGTGGAAGAGTGTTTCACCAGCATGAGCTGTCACTTGTGTCTTTGATCTTAGCCATTGACAGTTGTATGTGAATTTTGGATATTAGAACTCTCTTGGATGTGTAGTTGGTAAAAATCTTATCCTATTCTGTAGGCTGCCACTTTGTCTAATTGACAGTATCCTTTGCCTTACAGAATCGTTTCAGTTTCATGAGGTCCCATTTATTAATTGTTGATCTCTGTGCTGTTGGTGTTGTGTTCAGAAAGGCTTCTCCAGTGCCAATGAATTCAAGGCTATTTCCACTTTCTCTTCTATCAGGTTCAGTGTTTCTAGTTGAGGTCTTTGATCCACTTGGGCTTGAGTTTTGTTCAGGGTGATAAGTATGGATCTATTTGCATTCTTCTACATGCAGTCATTGAATTTGACCAGCACCATTTGTTGAAGATGCTATCTTTTTTTCTAATGTGTGTTTCTGGCTTCTTTATCAAACATCAAGTGTCCATAGGTGTGTTGGTTTATGTTCAGTTCAATTCCATTGATCAATGTGTCTGCTTTTATGCCAATACCATGCTGTTTTCTTTATAACTATGGCTTTGTAGTATAACTTGAGACCAGGAATGGTGATACCTCCAGTAGTTCTTTTATTGTTTTAACTATCCTGGAGAGAGAGAGAGAGAGAGAGAGAGAGAGAGAGAGAGAGAGTTTGCATATGAAATTGAAAACTGTCCTTTCAAGATCTATAAGTATTAAAATTTTGAGAGGGGTTGCACTGAATCTGTAGATTGCTTTTGGTAGGATGACCATTTGTACTATTTTAATCCTTCAGCTCCATGAGCATGGGAGATCTTTCCATCTTCTAATACCTTCAATTTCTTTCTTCAAAGACTTGAAGTTTTTGTCATGCAACTTGCTTGGTTAGAGTTACACCAAGATATTTTATATTATTTGAGGCTATTGAGAAAAGTGTCCTTTTCCTGATTTCTTTCTCTGTTTGTCATTTGTATCTAGAAGGGCTACTGATTTTTGTGAGTTAATTTTGTATTCAGCTTCTTTGCTGAAAGTGCTTGTTAGCTGTAGGAGTTCCCTACTGGAATTTTTAGGGTCACTTTGTATACTATCTTATCATCTGGAAATAAAGATGTTTTGACTTCTTCCTTCCCAACTTTTATCCCCTTGATCTCCTTCAATTATCTTACTGCTCTAGTCAAAACTTTAAGTATTATATTGAATGGGTATGGAGAGAGTGGACAGCCTTGTCTTTTTCCTAGTTTTAGTGGAATTGCTTTGAGTTTTTCTCCATTAAGTTGATGTTGGCAGTGAGGTTGCTGTACATTGCCTTTATTGTGTTGAATATGCCCCTTGTATCCCTAATTTCTACAGGACTATTATCATTAAGAGGTGCTGGATTTTGTCAAAGGCCTATTCTGCATCTAATTAGATGACCATACAGGGTTTTTTTCTTTCAGTTTGTTTATGCAGCAGAATACTCTCTTAGAGTATTTCTGTTGCTGTGAAGAGACACCTTGACCACGGCAACTCTTATAAAGGAAAACATTTAATTGGCGTGGCTCGATTACAGTTCAGAATTTCAGTCTATTTTCATTTTTGTGTAACATGGCAGTATCCAAGCAGACATGGTGCTAGAAAAGTAACTGAGAGTCCTACATCTTGTAGGCAACTGGAAGTGGTCTGTGACACTGATCAAAACTTAAGCAAAGAGATGTCAAAACCTGCCCCCCCCCCCCGCCGTGTGACACACTTCCTTCAACAAGGCCACACCTACTTCAATAGCCACACCTCCCAATAGTGCCACTCCCCATGAGCTTATAGGGGCCACTTACATTCTAATTACCACAATTGCACATATTGATTTTTGTATATTGAGCCACTCTGTAAGTGTTACAGCTCTGAGGGGAAAGGTTTTCCCCAGTGCAAATGTTACAGCTCTGAAGGGAAAGGCAGCAGGAGCCAAGGAATACCACTGCACAGCATGCCTCACACAAAAGCTTTGTTGGGAAAGAAGCAAGATGGTGGCTGCCTCTGCTTGGGCTCGAAGCATCAAAGAGCTGAGCAGGAGGCAGGTTTTATGT